CACAAGAAAGACACGGACCTGTTGGAGCAGGTCCAGAGGAGGGACACGAAAATGATCAGGGGGATGGAACAGCTCTCCTGTGAAGAAAGGCTGAGAGAGTTTGGGTTGTTCAGCCTGGAGAAGAGAAGGCTCCAAGGAGACCTTGCTGCAGCCTGTCAGTACTTCAAGGGGACTTATAAGAAAGATGGGGGCAAACTTTTTAGCAGGGCCGGTTGTGGCAGGACAAGGGGGAATGGCTTTAAACTAAAGGGGGGTAGATTTAGACTAGATACAAGAAAGAAATTTTTTACGCCAAGGGTGGTGAAACACTGGCACGGGTTGCCCAGAGAGGTGGTGGATGCCCCATCCCTGGAAGCATTCCAGGTCAGGTTGGACGGGGCTCTGAGCAACCTGATCTAGTTGAAGATGTCCCCGCCCACGGCAGGGGGGTTGGACTAGATGACCTTTAGAGGTCCCTTCCAACCCAAACTATTCTATGATTCTAACTCCACTCAGGAAGCACAGCTGAAATAATATGGAAAATGTCTAAAAATTACACTAAATTTGGCTGAATGGTGTTACAATAACATCTCAATGGCCTTTTTATTTTTTTACATTATTGGTTTACAAAAAGCTAAAAATAAAATAATTGCATAATCTTACTATACTAGTACAATGTTGATAGTAAAAGAATGGATTTTATTTGTAACTCAAGGCCAAGATATCCAAGGAAGTTAAATGTGTCCAAATCATTTTGCATGTTATCATCAGGTTTAAGCACCTGTCTCCATTTGTTTCCTTTGCAAACTTCAAGCTAACGCACTCATTTTTCTTTGTAGAATTGTATTTACAAATGGGTGTATGCATATGTGCATCTCCAGTCCTCTCCTGTGAGGGAAGCATGTGTTCAGTGTACCGGACAGCAGTACTATCCCAGCTCCTGAACTCCATGTATGTGATACATCTCATCTTACTTTGCGTTTTATCTCTACTATAGAACATAATGCAACCTAGCAGAAAGAAATACCTAAAATAATAATCCTATTAATCAGAACGAACTAATTTCACCATAGGGATGCAATAACTTATCAGTAGTCATTGCTCAAAATCCAGACGCCTCCGTATGAATTCATACAGCTGTTTCAAAGTCGAGCAGTAACTACGTCTGTAGTTATTGTGACTACAATAGTCCCTGCTAATATGCCACATGACAAGTTCTTTGACAGATGCATGAGAACCATGAGAAAAAATGTGTATCTCATAAAAGTAACAACTTCTTTGTGAGAAAATGGATGAGAACATTTTTGCAGTAGATTATGGGATGTAATCTGTAAGAGCTTTATTTCTGTGCATTCCTCTCAATGACATACAACTCCCCACCATACAGTAGCCAAAACTATAGCCTGCTCTCCCTTTACTAACTCTTTCTTGCCATCTGGGCTGTCTTTTCAGCCTGTTCATTTCAGCATCTAAAATGGTGATACTGGCAACAATATGGCAAATTAAAGTGAAGCTTAATTTGCTGAGATAGGTACAGAAATGAGCACAACATATGTCACTACTACGCTAATGGTTTTAGATTCACACAAGCTTTTAAATTTGCAGACTTGGCCAGAATGTAAACCAAATCTAGTATAATCCTAACAACACAAATGAACTTCAGTAAATGCATCTGCATTGAAGCAAATTTATTCTAAGAGGGGCTGCACAGCATAAAGGTACTAAAATGACAGCAATATGACTCATTCCTATACTGATTGAGTAGTTATTAAATGCAGTTTTTCAGAGCCTGGTATTAAGCTGTTTCAATGTAAAATTCCATTAACTATATAACACACTACCATTAAATTGCTCTGCCATCCTAAGACGTAAATGGTTTCTAAGACCATTCAACACATGTATTATTTAAAACCTGAAGTGCTAATACAAGGTGGCAGATAATGCCCAAAACTATGACTTTGAAGCTCACTTCCCGCAGCATTAAATATAGACGATTTTGGAGTCTTTATTAAGTTAGTCATAGCAGCTTGATCCCAAATCTTGTTTGCCTTACCCCAGTGAGCTAACTTAAAACCAATTGCGTGTCTCTGATATGTACCAGTGTAACTGAATCACAATCTTAGACAATGAGTAAAATAAAAGCTTAGCATTTCAAACATAAATCTAGTCTCATTTATACGTGAGCAATACACTTAAACTGAAAAACCTTATTTTTAGAGATTCAACATTAATACAAATAGAAAGGAATAAAATTCCACCCTCAAGGAGGAGCTGCAAACCTAGAGTCCATCTCACCTTCAGTGAAATTGCTTTGCCATTTATTTTAATGAGAGTTCATCTACAAAAAATCTAAGTTTATAAAAAATTTTCATTTGAATGTTCTTTTCTTACCTGCTTCAGTGCATTATCCAAAGCAAACATCTTACAAATCCAAGGACTACCAGAAACACTTTTATCAATGCTGTCACCAATTTGTACCCATTATATAGTTCTACCTCCAAAAGTCACAAAACAACTACAGGAACCAACCTTTTCCCTTTCCTTTGTTTGGCTTATAATTTGCTTACACAATATTCACTGAAATGAAAATAATTAGTTTGGGTTTTTTTAGAAATCTGACCTTGGATAACACAGGATATTACAAAAATCCTTGTTGATCTGTCAAAGGTTGTAGATTTTCTACAATTATTTTTAAAGAGTCTATTAACTCCCCTACCAATATTTTGTGCACAAGCATACATAAAACTTAGTATCTCTCAAACCATAAAAAAACTCACAGGTGGCCTTTTTTCCAGTAGCGGTATTAGCAGAGGTATAGGAATGGCACGTGGTTTGGGTACAGTCAAATTAAATTCCTTTGGCTGAGTGACCGTTGAACTCTTGACCATGGTAGTACGATTACTTAATATATCTGTGAGCTGTTCAATCAGTTGCTGTACTTTTGGCTGCCATCTTCAAATAAAAACAGATTTTTCAATTTTATTTCATTTTTTTCTTTCATACAAACTTACACGCAGTATATGAGGTTGGCATTGGTGCAAATTCTGTAATGCTTTCAGCCATTCAATTTTAATAAAATTGACCTATGAATTTGTAGTCATGATTTAGTTTAGATAGAATATCTCTTGATAGATGCTAGTCCATTCAGACTACTAGTGGTGAAATAGCCACAGTTTTTACTGAATAAGCAACAATGTCACCAGTTCGTTTCGCAGCAGGACCAGACTATGAATCAGAAAAGCAGCTGTCATAAGCTAAGTACACACTTAACATACTTAGATGAAGAGACTATGAACAAACAGTGGTCTGAGTATTGCCACTTTTACCAACTGACAGAGTACACATAGATCAATCTCATAGCACAGGCAGTTCTAATAAAAAAATAGAAAGATGTAAGGAGTTTGGTGAATTAGCAAACGAACCCTCAGTGAACCCTGTGGGGCAGTCAAGATGATTTTGATTTCTCTGTGTTTGTGATTTTGGCTTGTATTCTTCCAAGGAATGACAGGAAGGTGTGGAATTCAAGGTAAGACACAAGCAAGTTATCACAAGGCTAATTATGGTGACAGCTTCATGCCAGTTATTCCTCCTCTATATGTGTTCTATCTTTAAGTTTTGCACATGCAGCGGAGCTTTCCCACAACTCAAAAAGCAGCTGACAATGCAAATTTACAGTAACTTGTTTATGTGACTGTTACCTTAGCTAGTACTGTCATTATGGGATGAGGCTTGCAAGTAACTTCTGCAAGTAATGCAGCTCTATTAAAATAAATAGGACTCTTTATATTAACCTCATTGACATTAGAAAGAGGAATACAAAGACATATTTAAAAGAATTTAAGCTACTGAACTGATTAAACTGATCAATGCATCCTCAGCCCCTTGAAGGGAATTTCAAACCCAGTAACCAAATATGATCTTTAACATTGGATATAGAATCATAGAATCATAGAATAACTCAAGTTGGAAGGGACCCAGATCATCCAGTCCAACTCCCTGCTCCTTGCAGGACCAGCTAAAACTGTGTGTATATCTCTATCTGTACATCTCTATCTGTATCTTTATGCTATTGTAAGCATACGTTATAATTAGAATTACTACACTGGAATATATTGAGTCAAATTCTGACTTCAAATATATCCCTGCAGCTCCTGTAGAACTCGGTGGAATTTGGAGTATTGCAAGCCAAATCTAGACTATACATTTGCTAATTTGGCATAATCTACATAGTATGAAAGGATTAATTCTACTGACTTTGATATGACAGTTAGAACGAGATGCAAACTCTTTTTCAGCTGACATTGTTTGTAACATATTTTTGTCTAACATTGTTTGCCATCATCTGGGTTAATCTAAACTGCAGCGAGGATGATGTATGATTGCAGCCACATTGGTGTACCAATGCTAGCTCTAATTTATCTGTCCTGGGTAAAAAAGAGAGTGAAAAAGTGACACAATAGGCTGCAGAGCCACTGTTTCTCCACATGAAAGTGTTCCAGTTTGGCAAGGGTACTCATGCTACTGTATCACCACCTAACCAATGTGTGGACACACCTGGCACCTCAGAGCATTTAAACTGTTAAATGGTGCTGCAATTGTGTAAAGAAATGATAATTTTTAAAGACTTGTTTACATACTTAATCTGATTTGCTCAGAAGGGATTTTATGACCATCGGCATAAACAAGTCTGTGCATAAAGTCAAACTCGGGGAAGTCAAACATCTTTTTTCAAATGCTTAATGTCATACAGATGTTTAAGTGACTTATGAGGCACGAGTCTACCTCTGTAAGATAATGTGAACCTTCTATTTTATTTTTTTTTCAGAGTATGATGTTTGATCTATTCGGGGGTACTGAGAAACAAATGTACAACAGCTGTGAAGGGACTTTTCTATGAGAGAACCTTGCCTCTGGGTAAGTAAAAGGGATTACTATAGTCTCACGAAGACAAGAAGGGTTCTGAGTGACTTCAATAGGAGAAACACTTTAACAGCAAATGGAACTTTCAGGGGAAGCTTTCCCCAGCATTTAAACTTTGAGGTGGTGACGGCTACTTAAGTACCGCTTACCTTAGTAGTGGATCAATCCAGTTCTCTTTTACATACAGTGAATCGTAGAACTGACTCCATTCATCTTTTATCCATGTGTTCAAATACAAGGCATTGAAGAAGAATCTAAGAAACTAATAATAAGTGATTTTTTAAAAATATGAATACTGAAGGTACGGTGTATATAAGACTACAAAAAGATAGTTGCTTTTACTACAAACACTGCTGAAGAACTTGCCCTGTATTTATAATCATAGGTGCTTGATATTTGTAGGTTCTTCTTAGTTCTGTTAGAGCAGCCCCATGTCTTTCAGCCCTATTTTGTGAAACACTAATAGGTACTAAAACAGTTTTAGTGGCCTAACAAAAATCTAGAGACTACAACATGGGGATGTGTTGATGCATCTTTAATTTGCTTCAAACATTGTGAAACAAAAGTTTTTATTCAAAATTAAAGTAATTACTACTGCAATAGACTGATTTTAGTATAATTATACAGTAGAGTTTCAGAGTCTAATATACCCACAGTCAACTCCTGATTATCTATAGCTAGATGATCCGTGGTGCCCAGAAACATCCCAGGCCTGGCACTGCACCTGAATTAACGTAAGTTCCTTTCAGCTCCCTGGGAACCGGGCAGGGAGAACTGCTGAGAACTATAGTAACTGCTATACAATATAGTTTCTTCTTTTATTGAAATATAATTAATTGGCATATTCCCATTAAATAGAAGACTGAAATTTGGCACACTTACACATTGTAGGGCTCTACATGCTGGAGAAATAGCAACTAACATTTGAACTTTTGTTTCCCACTGGAGTTCACCAGAAGGTCAAGAGCCTTTCTTTAAAACTTGAACTGCTCAAATGGCCTTTTGAAACAGACTCTTGAAAAATGGCACTCAGATTCAGTGTGTATCATTTACAGCAGTATAAATTCCAAACTTGCATCTGAACTTTTTCATTAAAATTCTTGGAAATGAAAGTACCAGCAAGTATCATGCTGAAATAATCCCAATAATAGGAAAAAAGCACACTAAATAATATTGACATTATGAGACATACTGGAAGGCAGTGTGCAGTCACTTGAGAAGCTTCTAATGGAGACTGGAGGTGCTGGAGGACTACCAAGGAGCTTCTTAATTCACACGTAGTACCAGGCCCAAGGTGGCTCAGAACTTTGTGAATAATTCAGCTATAAACCATTCAGATTTGACTCAAGGTGTTTGCTGCAGATGTTCAACAAATGTAGAAAGCCTGCTACTTGAAATCTATAGTCTTGATGTGACCTTTTCCAAGGAATTAACGTGTAAATTTAGTCTTATTTTCATCTGTTGTGCTTTTGGTAGAGTCAAAAGACTGATCAACAACTGAAGGACTAAATGAATCCCCTTGGATTCCCATCCTTGTCTAGAAACTACTGCTCTTCCCCAAAACTGCAGATGCTGGCATATCAACACACCATCCAAAAGAAGGTGTTTCATCCCTAAAAGCATGACTATAAACTAAGTGTTGAATTGTGAATAAATTGGTTTTTTGGTGCTTCCAGATTCTGTGGAGTTTGCTAAGTATATGGTAAGGGATGCATTTCATCCCATTGGTCTAGAAACTTCATTCTCCTTATGGAGGATCTTTCTCTGTAGCGCATGCATGTTGGATTACATTTTTCACCTAACATAGCAATTTGTACTTATGCAATGTATGTATAAAATGCTAGAAGACTAGACAGAGTTCATACTCTCCAACAGAACGGATGCACTGTATATACACTACTTCTACCAGTTATCGTAACAAAATTTTACATCCAGGTATCCCAGCTGATACCCAGAGAACATGTCCCCTGCCAAAGTACTCTTCTTACCTTATGGAAGGCCCTGACTATACACAAAGTTTATAAAAAATGTGCTTTTAAACCCATGTAAGCAAGTGTGTGTACAGGGGTGGATTGAACATGAGCCGATATACTTAAAATGAGGCAGACCCTGAGGGGTGAAGCTAGTTTCAAATTTCTAGGTATTCAGAGAGCTCACAGAAGCAGCTGATGTAGAAATACTGCAGGTGGTGATTTGTAAATCCTCCAGTTTTCTTTCACTAGCTTTCATCAAGCTGAACTCCTCCCTCTCTGTGTCCTCAGTATTCCTCTTTTATAACCTAGACCATCTTCAATCAGTTGTCTACTACATTGCCACGTGAAACTAAGCTTCTGAACTGTTTTTTCAGCTCTCCCTGAATGATCTTCTCCATCTAGGTCTTCTAAATATTTGCTGTAACTATCTTTTACAAAGTATTTGCAACTCAACTACTTCTTCAAGGCAGATGAAACTACAATAAAGACACACAGTTAGTGATTTCTAGCTGTTGTATTTAACAGCTGGCTATTACCCCTTGAGGCCTCCTACTGCAACACCAGTTACGTACTGGTTATTAACATTTCACACTTTATTAAGACAAATGGGTAATTATGTGATTGATAAACGCTATGATGTACTCCTGTGAGGTACAGAGAATGGTAACCATGTAATCAGATATCAATACTGTGATGTATATTTTAGTACTGTTTTAGTCACAGTCCCCAGAGAAATGCTACAATAAGGATATGCCCCACTATGCATCATGCTAGAGAAGGCTTTGAATGCAGCCCTGGAAAGGTTATCCAGGCAATGCAGGGATTGCAAATGGCAATGCAGGATTACCAGACATCATTTCTGACCAGAGCATGCCTGGGCCGAAGTCCACAATCTTGATTTTGATAATCCATATCAGAGATGGCGAATGTCAGCAGAGTAAGACCCATGAAGCCATAGCCCATTTCATTTCTTAACAATAGAACCTTTTGCATTTTGTGAACTGAATTGCTAGGAAAAATCCCTTATATTTCTGTTTTATCTTTGGCCACATGTGACAAAGGCGGCAACCCCAATATCAGCGGTCGTTGCTTTTATAGCAGCAAAATGCAGCTTGAAGTTCTCACAGATTTCTGTTTGGATGTTACCAGTACCTGTCTCCTTAGAGAAGTCACTGGACAGTCATTTTGGTAACAGCATTATTCTGCTTACTCCTCTGTCTTGACTGTTCCAGGAGTTTCATTACTCACAGAGCATGATAACCAAGATTCTTTTCCCTTCTAGAGGTGGTGGAATTACACCAGAAATGAATTGTACCCATTTTTACTATTTTAATATATTCTGGCTGTAGTAAGACAAGCGTGTATAATTAAAGACTGTTTTGTAATGCATTTTTACAGGTGGGCTGAATTAATACCTTGCTCTTGAGAATTTGAACATGTGCTGCTAATATTCTTAATGTATTTTTTACACAGTGGGATTGTATGGATTTCTAAAAAGCAAATAAAAAATTGGAAGTTTCCTCATCTGGTATTATCTTTACATCCATGTAATCATTTGCAGAGCTGAAATCCTTATATTCACAACATAAGCTTTTGACTCTTGAGTTAAGGAAGTAACTGCAAGAAACAGCAGGTTCTGTTTCTTCATATAGATCAGCCACTACCCGACAATGATACTATTTTGGCTGTACACACCCACAGCTATTTGCTGTAGTAGCAAATGCAATCAAGGAGGTTC